GACGAGGGCGGATGCGGGCAGGAAGCTGACGTTTCCTGAGCGCCTACTCCGTCCGAGGTGGGTGGGATGATTGGGCCGGTGGGTGGGGTGATTTTCCCGCTGGCTTGGGGAGGCGAGCGCCTGGGCTAGGACGCCCCTCTCTGAAGTGGTCGCGTCGGGGTTCGAGCCTAACCCAACTCCCACCCGCTTGCTTTCGCCTGGGAGCGGGAGGCGGGTGGCGGGGTGGCGGAGAAAGGGGGGAAGCTGAGAGGGGAGGCAGGAGGAGCAGGACTCCACTGAGGGGTCGCCGCCGGCTCGCGGGGGCCCCCCCTACCCCAGAAGGCGCCACACGGCCGCGGTTCCGCGCCCCTTCAGCGCCCCCGTGTGGAGGCTCTGACCTCCGGCCCTCCCCTCTCAGAACTCGGCTTGGCATCGGAAGCGTTGGGTCCTGGACTCCAAGGCCTGTCCCTAGGGTGGGGGGGCTGGGCTGCTGGAGTGGGGGAGCAGCAGTGTTCCTTCCAATGGCGGGGGAGGCTGGGTAGGTAAAAGATACCCCAAATCCGTGATTGGGACAAGTCTTCATTTATGGCGCACCTTATAGCTAGCTCAGGGGGTAGCTAGAAAAGAAGAACAGAAACAGACACGCATTTTTCTGATCTTTACACTGGAAAGTGCCATAGCTTGGGTCTTTCAGGGAGAAGTATGAATCCTGAATCCCCCCGCCACACCGCCCCCCCCCCCCAATTTATAGCATTTATAGTGCGGGGAAAACTTTAGACTGTTGTCCTAGACTGAACACATTGGGTTTGGAAAGGTGGATCACTATACCCTGAGGGCAGATGGAGCAAACAGAGCCATTGTCCTCTGCTCAGAGGTTGTGGGACACATCTCTGACAGTCGGGCAGATGATTTGAGCCAAGGACTGGTCTTTGGCACCTCTTGACCCTCAGTCACTCAGGAAACCAGCTCTTCCACAGACACTGGGGCCTGAGGTTTCAGAAAGACGTTCTCAGAGTCCTGAGAACGATTCAAACAGTCCCAGGCCTCACCCCTTCTGTTCAGGCCCCATGCGTGCCACCAGCCAAGGAACAGTCCTGTCCCCATCATTTTTGCATTTAGGCTCTATAAGAAAGACTGAAGTAGGGATGGTGGGGTATTTGTTTACAGGAAGGATTAAGAGTAGGAGGAAAGGCATAATATAATACTGTTAAGAAGAAGACTTAGGGTTCAACCTAATCTGACCACTTCCCACTTGTGTGACTTTAGGTCTGTGATTTATTTGTTTATCCACTTATTTAAAACCTGTTCAGGGCCCTCCCTGGTGGCTCAGTGGGCTAAAGCGCAGCACTGCAAGCTGGCGGCAGCTGCTTCAGTGTGAGTTCGATCCCCCATCCCGGAGGTGATCCACATGGCCGGGCATGTCTCACCTGCTGCTCCCCTCAGCAGTATAGCATTTCATCAGTCTGCCTGTTCTGTTCCCCACTCTGTCTCTGGTGAATCCTCTCACTGCCCCTGCACCTCTGGCCTGTACCCTAGTTCTGTGTGCATAAATAAATAAATCTTTAAAAAATAAATAAATAAAACCTATTCATTCACTCAGTCATTAAATTGAAGTAATGGGTTACAGGACTGTATCTATTTTAGGAGTATAGGTTCACACCTCTTCAAATATGCTGCCACACCACAGCCCCCACCAAAACATCAATATGCCTTCACCAGAGTCCACTGGACTCCTTCCATCCTTTGCTTCCAACTCACTGCCCCCTTCACAACCACCCATAACTGTGGTCTGCGATCAGATTCCAAGGGTTTATTTGCTTGGTTTTGACTGTTCCTTTGCTTTGTTTCTTTATAGTCCATGTATAAGTGACATCATCCATTATTTGTCTTTCTCCTCCTGACTTACTTCCGCCTAGCATAATCCCTACCAGTCTATCCATGTTGTCACAAATGGCAAGGTTTCATCTTATTTTTTTCATTCACTCAGTAGCATTCTGTTGTTTCTATAGCACATCTTTATCCACTCATCTGTCATCAGGTAGACAACTTTTTATCCACTCATCTGTCATCAGGTAGACAACTTTTTCTATCATCAGAAAAGGTCAACTTTTTGGATCTTTTCTGTAAGAGGGGGATAACAATATTTCCACTTGAAAAGGTTGTTGAGCATTTAAATGAGATTCTGCATTAAAGAGCGTGCAGTCGGGCCCTCCCTGGTTAAAGAGCAACAGTGTGAAACTGTCCTCAGCCACTGTAGTGAGTTCCATCCCCAGCTAGGGAGGTGACCCAGCAGACCTCTCCTGTCTCACATGCTGCTCCCCTCAGCAAGGGATGCCTGTTCTGCTCCCCACTCTATCTCTGGTGAATCCTCTCATCTTCTCCCCCACCCCCACCTCTGGTCTGTATCCCAGTTCTTGTGTGCATAAATAAATAAAATCTTTAAAAAATAAATAAAGAGCGTGCAGCTGCTGGCACATTGTAGGCCTTACTAGATGGTTGCAATTATTATTATGAGTAATAATATAATGACCCAGTAATGCTCACCCCATTGGTGGAAGAGCCCAGAAGGACAGTCACTTTAGGCATTCCCAGATGGATACTTTGCCACCAGGTGGAGACTGTCCTTACCTAGGCCCTGAGTCTGTCCTGTCAGACTAGGAGCTGCTTGTAGCCTTTCTTAGACCAGATTCAAAGGCTGGATCTTCATGTTAGGGTTCAAAAGATTCAGGCCTGAGACCCCCCTTGTTGTGGGCTGTGGGTTCTGGTCCTGCCCCTGCTGCGAACGTGGTGATGAAGAAGTTGCTCTCCTGAGTGCTTGCGTCCTCCCTGAGTCTGTGTGCAATAAAGGCACCAGAGTCTGACCCCATTAGTGGGAAAAGAGAGGCTCATGATGAAAAAGGGCCTTTTCTTCCTGGATCTTGGTTAGTGAATGTGGGAGAAAAGTGAACAGCTAATTGAAAATATAATTGTAATGCATTGTCCTTTGTCTACCAACTGGAGCCTCCAGACCCCACTGTCTGCGGAACGGCTTGCTTCTGGAGTCAGGGAGGACTCGAGCCAGCTAAATGGAGACAGCACCCATGGTTGGACTGGACTGGGTGGGCCAGGCAGGGATGGAGCCTCCATCCTCCCAACCCCCCATCCCTGTCAGGAACATCTGGGCCAGTGTTGCTCAGAAGGGCGCTGCGTTCTGAGCACTCTGTGTAGGCTGCCTGGGAATGGGGAGACGAAGCACCAGGCACCAAGGCTCTGAATGCCACACGGGGAGTCCAGTGTAACTGGACAGCCACTAAAGGTTTCAGAACAAAAGGGCTATGTGGGATTTTGGACTTTTCTCTTCCATGAGGTGAGGCGAGGAAGAGGAGCCACTGTGGTCAGGGAGAAGCTGGAGACAGGGAAGCCGTGGGGGCTGGTTAGAACCCAGAGGAGACAGGGTGGCCTGGGATAGGGAGAAGAGGGCTGGGTCAGCATCACTGCAGAGGGGGTCAGCAGTGTGAGGTCTGGGGGGGGGTGCGAGAGATGGCACCAGGATGCTGAAGGGGTGGGGGTTGGAGCAGTGGGGAGAAGCTGTGTCAGTCTGGACCATCTGATAGTTGAAATGTCCTTGACTGGGAGTTGCCAGGAAGCGCTCAGAGCTTAAGGACAAGGTCAAGAAGCTTTAAGGAGCTCAGTGCACTTGGTTGATGAAGCTAGGGGAGACCAGAAAGCCAGGGAAATTGAGAATAAAAGGGCTCAGCAGGCCCTCCCTGGTGGTGCAGTGGGTTAAAGCACAGCACTGAGAATCTAAAGCCGCTTCCGCATGAGTTCGCTTCCGCATGAGTTCGATTCCTGCCTGCCCCGGAGGTGACCACATGGCTCAGCAGACCTCTCCTGACCCGCCCGCTGCTCCCCTCAGCAGTGTACTTCGTCGATCTGCCTGTTCTGCTCCCCCACTCTGTCTCTGGTGAAGCCTCTCGCCGCCCCTGAGCCTCTGGCCTGTACCCCAGTTCTGTATGCACAAATAAATAAATCTTTAAAAAAAAAAAAAAGGGCTCAGCAGCCTCAACATTAGAAGCAGGTGACGGAGAAGAGGAGGCTGCAAAGGAGAAATTAGCAGGGCACGGGCATCAGAAGAGACAGAAGATGCAGACGTTGGGGAGAGATGCTGATCAAAGACACATATGCGTAGGAATCAACATGTCCATTTTAGTGGCTAGGGAAAGGACTGGAAGGACTGACAGGTGGTTGGTAGTGAGACAGCAGTAGATAAAAGGAGGTCTCTCGTCTATATTCAATATCCTGTATCATTTGATTATTTTGCTGTGCATGAGAATATGTGCATGCATTACTTTTATAATTATTTTTTGTACTTTTACAATTTAAAACAAGTACACATCTATTCAACCAGCCACGTATTGAATATTCACTATGTCATAAGGGCTATGGTGGTTTCACCTGAACTGAACATGTACAAACGTGTTTCTTGTCACGATTCCCTAATAACAACTACTTACATAGCGTTTACACTGTATTAGGTATTGTAAGTAATCTAGAGGTGATGTAAAGTATTATGGGACAGTGTACATATTGTACACAAATACTGCACCATCGCCTTTAATGGACTTAATATCAGCAGATTTTGGTATCATTGGGGGGGTCTTAGCACCTGTCCCCTGTGGATATGAGGGGGATGCCTATTATGGACTATATCATATCCATTAGCAGGAAATGTACAAATCAATTGTGGTGGAATACTATGTAGTAATGAAAATGAGTGAGTTAGAGTTGGCATGTCAATGGGGATAATACTCAAAAGTTGAGCAGAAAAAGCAAATTGCAGCAGGCTGCCTATAATGTGATTCCATCTATGCAGAACTTAGAAAACAAACGCTCATATTAGTATATATGAGTATAGGTACTGGAAGTGAAGGTATAAAAGTGAAGGTATTGATCGGTTCAGGAGAGAGCTTGGCTAGGCCTCAAGTCTCATGACCAACCAGTGGTGGTCCTGGGAATTTCCCACTGTGCTCTGGGGCTCAAGAGTGAATCTGAGGGTCTTTGGTACTGAGAAATACAGGTGATATCGTACAGCTGCCCTGGATCTCCCCAAAGAGCAATGACCCAATGTCATCCTGAGAGACTCTTTTGAGGACCTGAAGGGGTGACAGCACCCTACCACAGTGCTACTTGTGGGTGGGGGGATCCACAGCCTGAGCAGGGGGATGACCAACTTGACTTCGGCAGGAGCCGGTGAGTCTCTGGCACCCGGGGGCAGGTGGGCAAGGACAGTGTTGAGGCTTGAAGGTTTGGGGAGGCAAAAGCCAACCCCCAGTGCCCAGGCATGGCAAGTGGGCGATGCCCAGGCTTGGCAGACAGCAGGCTGAAAGATGCAGTGCCAAGCTGGGGAGAGGGGCTGCCAGGGCCGGAGATCAGAGGAGCGGATGGGGAGGCCGGGGCACTGTCAGGGCTTGACGCGGGAGGCCGCCGGGGGCAGGCTGTCGGTGGGGTGGAGTGTGGGGGAGCAGTGAAGCCAGGGGGTGGCTGGGAGGAAGCGGGCAGTGCCAAAGGAGCAGTGTGAAAGAGCCAGTGCCAGCTTGGGGCTTTTTGGGGAGGGGATGGGGAGAGAGAGCCCTTGATTATTTTTTTTTCCAGTTCTTCTGTTTTGCAATAAAAACAGTTGCGTCTATTGATGTTATAAAACCCTAGTTTCAGGGTTTAGAGGGTCCTTTTTCTTTCTTTGTACAGATGAGTTCAGTGACGCCCACAGTGGAGGAATGGCCTTTTTTCCAAGGTCTCCCTATGAGTCCAGAGACCTGGGCCGAACCTGCTTGGGTGTCCAGGTTGGTGCCACACCTGTGGGGCGTAGGGTAGGGAGGTGGGAAGTGAGGGGTACCAAGTTGGAAGGACTCCAGTCTCAACCAGGGTGGCCAGCTACCTTGCTGGGGAAATGAGGGCCAACGTATCCAAGTCCAGCCAGCCATGAAGCCCGTGGACCCCTGGGGTAATGTTCTGGGGGAGCAGTGGCATGCACCTCCCTGTGACCTGGAAACTTTGGGACTCTGATCCAGAAGGTTTGGGAATCCCACAGAAGTGTTACCTCTGACAGCTCCAGAACATGGGGGAGACATTTAAATCCGTTGAGAATTTTTTCCCCACTGGCCACGTGGGAGAGACTGAGGGTCAGATGTGCACGGGCGGTGGGGTGATTGCTAAGGGTCTGGTGCTGACCTCGCTTGCTCTCTTTGCTGTTCCAGGGATCATGGCAGGACCTTCTGACCGGCAGATGATCCCAAGGCACTTAGGTGGGTTGGGGGCAGCTTTTGCCAGCTGCTGTCCCTGGGAACAGGCACTGCTGGTCAAGGGCAGTGGTCGGTTGGGAAGTGCCCTGAGAACACGAGCCCCTTTCTCATGTTCTAGCTGAGCAGACTGAGACCCACAGGGAAGGGCTACCATCTCCCACATAGCCGTTTTTCAGCATTCTGTTTATTCTAAGATGTGTGTTGGGGTCCTCGTTTGTGACCAAAGGACACTTGGCGTCTTGGCAGGGCGAGGCCTGAGCTGGGATGCCCCAGAGAGCAGGGAATACCCGAGATGGGCACTCAGGGGAGTGGGCCTGGCCAGGCAGAGGAGGAGAGGGAGCCTCCCTGCTATTCTCTGCTCAGGGGAGGGGCTAGTGGTGGGCTGAACCTGGGGACCCTCTCCACACCCTGTTTGGCCTGGAGGTGGCTGCCGGCTTTGGAAGGATGGCCCACCTTCAGGAGAAGGGTGGGGTGTCCGGCAGTTCCCGGGGGCTGCAGGATAAGACCCATTTAGCCTCCGCAGTCATCTGACCCCCATGACTCAGGCCTGGCCCTGCCCGTGAAGGGCAATGGGCCAGTCTGAGCTCATCACCACTGCCTGGAGCAGAAGCGGTAAACAAGTTCCCCCTCTGCCTCCTGCCCCTGAGAGGAAGCAGGGGAGAGGGGGAGTGGGGATCCCCAAACACCCTACCCATCCCAAGCCATCTGCATGACACAGGTGCCTATATGGGTATCCTGGGGCCTGTCAGTGTGTGCTGGGCTCTTGCGCTTGTGTGACATATTCAGAAGTGTGTTTGCCTTCACACTCATCTGTAGGGAGCCCATGGTTAACCTTTTCCAGGGGTCAAGCTGACCAGGGCTCAGGGGAACATTTCATTTCAGCACTGTATCGGCTGAGGGTTCCCTTGGAGTTCACCTGGATGGGCCTGCTGGATCTTGGCCTCCTGGATGACACCCATGTGTTGGGGGTGGAGGGGAGGTGGGAAGCCCTTATTGCCTCTGGGATTCTCTAAAATGCTGCAGAAAAATATTCTTAGGCTATTGCTCTGACTGCCTGGGCCCACAGTAAAGTCTGAGGGGGCCAGTCTCCAACTCCTTGCTGGTTGCCTCTGGCTCCTTCTCCTCTTCCTTCTCACTCTCCTTCCCTCCTTCATTCCTCACACCTTTCTCAGTCTTCCTTTCCCCTTCACACCCATTCCAGGTCTTTCCTCCCCTCTCTCAGCTCAACCCAGGTAACCAGCATTACTATTTGTTGCCACCAGATGGCACCAATGCATCACCTGCCCCTTGCTAGCAGGGGCCATGTTCCACCCCCCCTCACTTTTACCCCCCAGCACAGGATGATTAACCAGCTTCACCCTGCACCACACCCACACCCTGCCCAGCGCCTTCCTGGGACTTGGAGGAAAACAGAAGCTGCACATGGGGGCAGGGTGTGGGTGGGGACCAGGAGATCCCAGGTCCTTAGAGATGCTCTAATGTCCCCTTCATGGTGATGCAATGCTAAGGCGGTCACCTCATGTTAAAGCGTTTACTCCTGGAAGCTGGAAACTGTGAGGTCCTAGTTGGCACCCTGCTGCACACTCAGAGATAATAAAACCCAGGAAATTAAGTCCCTGGCTCACGGTGGGTCAGTCGGTGTGCAGTGGAAGGAAAGTTAAATGTACAAAGTCTAGATTTCCAAGACTGGGAAAGTGAGGGGAGGACTTACAATGCTGGGATGGAGGGGGAGGGGATGGTGAGAAGGTCTGAGGGTGGGTCTTAAGGGATTCCTACTACTATGCCTTTGATGTCTCCTGGTCTGTTTTTCTTTGGAACCTGACTCGTGTGGAACTTTCCCCAGGACCCCTCGGTAGCCCCTGGGTCTTCCCAGAATTTAGGCATCTTTACATCAGCAGGTTCTTTTCTCCCTCTGGTTTTTTTGTATATCTTCTTGCTCTGTCTCTTCTAAAGTGAGGCTGAAATGTGGAAGAGGCAAGCCCCAGGTTGATACACAAACACCTTGTCCCAGGAGCCAGTGGAAGGCTGGGGGACAAAGGTGCAGCCTCTTGGGAGGTGCAGCATTCCGTGAGCCAGAGCCAGGTGAAGGTAATCAAAGCAGGCTTCCAGGAGGAGGCAGGAGCCAGGCCTGGGGAAAGGCTCAAGGCGAGGGCGCCAAGCCCACTTTCAGCTGTCCGGCCAGGGGCTGCTCAGTGGTCCTCATGTCCAGGGGAGCAGAGGGGGTGGGCAGTCCCAGGTGGTGTGAGGGGAGGGGAACAGGCTGGCCCCAACTTGAGCTTGCTTACCCATCCCCCACACCACCCCCTCACTCCGTTTCATTGGGAGGTGGCCTGTGGGCTGGGGACAGGGAGCCCAGGGCGGGGTCCTTTCCTCGGGCTTGAGCAGGATCCTGAGCCGGCTGTGGCAGTGTCCAGGAGCCAGAGAGGAGCCTCCACCCCCTACCCCCTTGGGCCCCTCTGTAATTAGGGCTATTTTTAGGCCCCTCTTCCTTCCTATTTCAGGCCTCTGGACTGGGCCGGAGAGTGGGGCCGAGGGCTGGAGCCGCTAAACTGGGCCGCGGCGTGGGAGCCACAGCCACAGTGCAGACCACAGCCCGGGGCGGAGTCCTGGGGGGGAGGGGAGCCAGGACGTGGCCAGGGCTGGGGGGGGGTGACTTGGCTCCTCTGACCCTCCAAGAGCCCTGTTGATCTGCCCCAGCTGGCCCGTCCATCCTTGTGCCCCCCAAACCACCCTGCTGATTTGAGGCAGTTAGCCTTGGGCCTGCATCTCTGTGTGTGTCCAGGATTGTGCAACTCCAGTACCTTCAGGACAGTGTTGCTCTGGGCGAGTGCCCAGAATGTTTAGAATAATGACCAGCTTTTCTAGAGCCCTCGCTTGTGCACCAGGCACTGACCTGGCACCTACCTGTGCTAATCATTTACCACACCCAGCAACGCTGGGAGGTCAGTGCTGCCCTGCCCCTATTTTACAGAGAGGAAAACTGAGGCTCAGAAGCAGCCTAATTTCATGTGCCAGGCTCTGTCTCCTGAAGGATTCTTTGACCAGGGATTGGGGAGAGGAGCCAAAGGGCATGGCTTCCCTTTACATCAACTTCCAGGTGCCACAGAGCTCGATGCTGTCAGGAGAGGGTCCTAGCAGCCGCTGCTTCCGACCTGCCTGTCTGTCATCGAGGGTCCAGGGCCTGTCCTGCAGGCGGAAGGGTGGGTCTTGCCCAGCTGGTTCCAGTTAGGCACAAGAACGCTGACGAGGGTATATTTAGCCCTGGTTTCTGGAGGAGCCAGAGGTCTTTCATCCTTGGCGGCGCTGGCCACAGGGGACTCGGCCTGCCAGCGCTGGGCTCTCGGACTGGAGGGCTGGCTCACTCTAGGGCAGGGAGCAGGGTCAGAGGAGAAGGGGCATATGCCACCCTGCCCACTGTGGGGGCTGGGGAGGGCAGTGGCGAGGAGAGCCAGGGCAGCAGAAGCCTGACTGCCATGGGCGGGCCGTGTCCCCCTTGGCTGGAGGTCTCCCGGGGGGATGGGAGGACAGGCGCCCTGCACCCAGGCTGAGCTCAGGCTTAGAACGCCCATGACCTGGCTGATTCTTGGGACTTTGCTCTGTAGCCCTGGCCTGGGGGTCCAGGGCTCTGTTCTTACAGAGTTCAAGGACAGGGAAAGGCAGACTTTCTCTTCTGTCTCAGGAGAATGACATGTTGGGGTGTTGGTGTTTAGAGAAGGTGGGAGGGTTGGGCAGCAGGTATAAGAGTGCCAGGAAAAAATAAATCCACAGGGAGGCAGCCACACAGTGCCCTGTGGAGCTTTCTCGTGTGTTGGGGTGCGCCAGGGGCTTCTAGGCTGCGGGCCCCCACCGAGCACCCTGACCGGGCCAGCTGGCTGGATGCCTGTGCTGGGGTCTGGTGTTGTTCAAGGTGACCATGGAATTGACCCGTCATGGGTGACTAGGACAGTGGGGGACCCCATCACCATGTTTCTGGGGGACAGCGGTCGAGTACGGTGGTAGATGAGAGACTCAAGTTGTTTTAAACCGTACAGCTGTGATCTTGTGGGGCTGTGTAATTATGCCCTGGATGTCGGTCTCTGTGTGTGAGTCTGCGAGTAAACACACGTGTGGATGCCGCTTGCGACTCTGGCTGTGTGTGTGGCAGTGCACGCGGATTGTCCTGGGTGTGACTGTGTCTGTGAGGGTGTAGCTGGGCGAGCAGCCACCCACCCGTCTGCTTCCCACTGCAAACAGGGCCTGCTCCTGCTGAGGGTCATGCCCCGCTACCCTTCCGTGGACCCCCACCCCAAAACCACAGGCCCGCTGGGCCCCAGGGAGGCAACCTTACAGCTGTAAGCGCCTGTCTCTCCCCTAATCCTCTCACCCCCACTCCCTCGCCTCCCCACAGACAGCAGGCTTCTACCTGCCCCAGGGCGGGAGGCAGGGGAGAGAAAGAGGAGCCTGCCCGCCTGCCCGCCGCCCCTCTGTCTTCTCTGCCTCAGACAAAGAGCTCACCCTGGTCTCTGTGGGCGTCTGGGAGACGCTGGGGGGATTAGCTGCCCGCGCCGCCCTCTCCCCACCTCGTGCCAGCCCACCCGGCTGGCACCAACACCCCGGAGCCCAGGGGCGGTGCCCTCACCGCAGCCCCAGGGTGGGTGGGTGGGTGTGTCCTGCCCCAGTGCTGCAGCGCCACGCTGCAGCCTCAGAGGACTGGATCCTGGGCACACACTTCTCTGCTGCCTGGCCCGGCAGCCTGCATCATGTGGCTTTGCCCCTCTGGTGTCTTTGCTCCTCACCCCATGGTGGCTGCAGCTTGGATCTGCCCTGTTCCCCCTTTGCCTTCCTGGGGGAGGACACATGAGCCTGAGAACTGGAGCGAGGGGCCCTGGCTCCGCTCTGTGAGGACTCTGCAGACCCTGGGACTCATAGCTCTCTCTTTGGGGTCAGGAGGGCCGAGCCCAGGGTCACTGCGTCCAGGCTGCCCCTCCCCCCCGCCCCAACCCCGCAGTCCAGGGGGGGCATTCTGGAGAGCTACCTGGGACTTTGCCTCCTGGGGAGAGTACACTATGGGTAGAACCACTGCCTCTGACTCTGAGACTTTAAGTCTCGCACTTTCTTTGTATTGTGCAAAGCTGGAGCTGATCTCAGAATCCTTTCACATTCATCCTCTCTGGATTTTCTCAGCAGACAGGGCGGGTCTGCTTCTTCTCCCATTTCAGATGTGCTTGACTGAGGCTCTGAGGAGTTCAAGAATTTACTCAGTCACTCAACCTGGGAGCCGTAGAGCTCGAATGCGAGCCTGGGTCTTGTTCCAAGTGTCGAGGGAGACCCTTTGGGTCCCTCGTAATCCCCTTGGCCTGGCCTCCACCTCCTCAGCCGCATCCCTTCCACCCCTCAAGAGTTGCCGTCTTGGGAAACTGGACTGGAGAAGGGCCAGTGGGAGCCAGGTGAGATGACCTGGCCCCTCCCTGCGTCACACCTCACCCTTGAGCAATCAGGGCGCCCTTCCACGGACAGTTCTTGCAGTCCATCCTGTGCTCCTGGGGGTGTCTGTAGAAACTCCCTTCCCCTCCTACCGAATGGATCGAATGCCGAACAGTACACATTGTTCCTGAAGACTTTTCCATCCTCTTTTCTATCACAATGTGACTCTACAGGTGCACAGAACGCACCTCCCATTGCAGGTGAGGCCTGTCTCCTTCATGGAGGTTCGAGGCACCAGCTTTCCACGTTGCCAAGTAGAAAACTGCTGTTTCCCAATGACGAGAAGAGGCCATGGGGGTTAGGGAGTTTGCTCGGTCCTTGAGCAGACACAATGGCCAGTACGTGGAGACGGACAAACAGCAGTGAGTGGATAGTTGAGTGGGTAGGGGTGACGTGTGGTGAGTGGGTGGTGTTTGTGTGGAAGGGTGGGTGAGTATTTAGATAAATGAACATATATGTGAATGATTGAATGGATGGAACTTTCGGTGGCTGAAGATGGAAAGTGAATGGCTAGGTGGGACGAGGAGTGAGTAAATGGAGGGATGCAGAAAGGATGGCCGATGGAAGGAAGGAAGGACAGCTATGAGGGAGGGCGGGGGCGGGTGCCCGACGGAAGAGGGCAGGGTAGCTGGGTGTGTAGAAGATTGGAGAAGGATAGAGGGCGGGCAGAGAGCTGTGTAGTGGGTTTGTGGGCCAGTTTGGGAACACGGAGGAGCCTCTGGAGACCCAAGGAGTGACATTTTCACCCCTACCTTGGTTTTCGTCAGCTCTGTCACCAGGACTGATGGTGAAAGATCATGTTATAGAAAAATATGGAAGATTCTGATTGCAGCCTGATATCAGGGGGTGTTGGGGGTGGGGTTCCATTTCATACCTGTGAAGTCTGGGGGCGTGAGCCTTAGCCAGGGATACACAGTTGCTCTGAGGAGTTCAAGCCTTAGCCAGGGGTACACAGTTGCCACCTTGGGGGTCTAGCCCAGACTCTCCCCCCACGCGCCCACCGTCTCCCTCCTCCCGTGCAGGAAGGACACTACCTCCTCCCAGATGAGCAGAGCTCAGACAGAGTGGGGGATTCTGCCACTCTCCACACGCTCACCCACCCCTCAGGGTCAAGGAGAAGTGCTCGGGCTCTCTGAGGGTTGCCCTGGGGGACCCAGAATCACGCATCCTGCATCCGTGACCCTGACACAGAACCACATGGCAAGACCGAGTGGCTCTGACAACAAGCGGGGTCACTGGTTTAAAAAGGGGGCTGTTCTGTCACAAATGCGTGGGGGCAATGGAAAACACAGCAGTGCGTTGCTGGGGCATGGGGAGACAGAAGAAGTGGAGGGTGCAATCATTTCTGTGGCTCTTCCTGGGTGCCACGTCTATTCCTGGGGGTGCTGAGATGGCTCGGAGAGGACTCTGTTGCCTCTTTTGGAGGAGAGTCTTCCCTCCAGGGATCTGGTCCATGGCAATGATGGTGCTTCGTGCATGGGTGCCTGCTTAATTCTCCTGATGTCCCTTCAGGGTAGGGAGTAGTTCCCCCACTTTAGAGATGAGGAAACCAAAGCTCAGGAAGATTAGGCAGAAGATTAGGGGGCCACGCAGTCTGCTTCTCTGCCTGGTGCCAGCTCATTCCCACCTTCCGGCCCCCCCGCGGCCTCCGTCCAGCTGCAGAGACCATGTCTAAGGAGCAGCCGCTGAAAGGACGCGCCGAGGACATGTTGGCGAGGGCTTCTCAGACAGCGCTGGCGAGAACAGGGAGATGTTCTTTTCCACAGTCACCCGAGCAAGGTTTTCAATGTTTCTAGGACTGCCGGTCCCTGTCTGGAGCAAGAAGCAGCATGTAGATGTGGGCGAGACTACCAGAAGGACCGTCTGTGTAGAAGAGGAAGGGCAGAGACAAAGTCTTCGGAGAAGCCGTCTCATGGGGCCCCAGAGCAGCTGGCTTGAGGCTGGGGAGGGGCTGGCGGAACTGGAGGCCCCCAGCCTGCGCCTTGGGGCTCAGCGGGGCTGCTGTCCTCCTGGCAGAAGCTGGGACTGTTGAGAGCTGGAGCCTTCCAAATCACAGTCACTGTGCTGGCGACTGGATTTGGAGCCCGCCTCAGTCTCCCCAGATCCCCAATGTAGGGGGCGGGAGATACCTGCACAGATTTCCTAGGCAACAGGCAGGGGTCGCTGCAGGCACCGTGAGATGAGCCACCGGCTCCCTGAGGCTACCTGGGCTCAGGGGCAGAGGTGCCAGGGCCAGGCCCGAGCCCAGGCCTGTAGCTGACCAGGTTTCTGGCCTCCTTCCGCCGAACCCCAGCAGCTGAGCGGAGGGGCCTGGAGACTGGGCAGGGCCGGGTGGAGCCCAGGAGGTCCAGGTGGGCCGGAGCAGAGGGCGGCCTCCCGGGTCTCCCCTCAGCAGGGAGGCCCTGCTGGCCTCCCCCTTCTCCCTTTGATGCCTTACCACAGACTTCAAACAGGCTGCCCCCTGCTCCTGCCCGCCCGCCCTCCGTAATTAGAGCCTCAGCCTGCTGCTGCCCTCGCTCCTTGCCGGCTCTCATCTGGCTTGTCTCGCCTCTATCTCTTTGATTCTCCCTCTGTCGCTCCATCTCTTTCCCACAGTTGCTGGCACTCTGTCACTGTGTCCTTGATGCTCTATCCACATCAGCGGCCAGCTTCAGAGTGGCCCCAGTGTGGTTTCCCGTGGACACGGCCACCTCCCCCTTTGCTCTCTGCTCCAGAAGACTGTTGCTGTCTCTGTCTTTCTTGCCGGATTTTCTCTCTACTTCTGTCAAGCTCTATCTCCATCTCTCTCCTTTTCTTTTTCCTTTCTTCTCAAGGAGGTCTGCACCACCCACTGTCCTTCCTGCCCAGCAGGGGAGCCCCACCCCCAACCTGGCTCCTGGTGCAGCCACAGGTGGCAAGCTGAGCCCTCCTGAGCTGCCCTCCTCCTCTTTGGTGGCTTGGTCCATGCCCTCTGGGCTCCCGCCCCTCCCCGGACTTCCTTCAGCCCCTCTCCAGGTCTGGTTTTTCTGGCTAGGCAGACCTCTGGCTCCTCAGGGCCCCTTCATGGTCCTCAGCAGCTGGTGCCATGTCCACTCTCTTTCCCAAGAGAAGGGGAGCCTGCCATGGCCTGATAGAACACTGAAAAACCCTCCAAATCTCTGTCCCCGCCTCCCAGGCCTTGGGGCCGGAGCCAGGCAGCTGCAGCACTGTCTGCCAGTCAAGAACAGAGCTCCCACTCCCGTCCTCCCCAGCCCCAGCCCTCCAGAAGAGACGCTGGCTTTGAGGGGCAGGGTCCTTGGGAGACGTGGGAAGACCCAGGGGAGAGAGAGCGGACTGGGCCCCTCTTGACACCGCGCTTTGAGCTGGTCCTTTGGCCTCCTGGGCTGTCTCCCCAGGTCACTGTGAGGAGTGGTGACAATTAGCACGCATGACTAAGCCTTAGGTTCCCAGTTGACAGCACCTTTCCTTGGTCACATGGGTGCCTCATGACCTCCGCCGTGGTGTAGAAGGAGGATCACGTCCTTTCAACAGATGAAGACACTTGTGCACAGGTGTGTCCAGGTCCACCTTCCAGGGCCCCTTCTGGAAGCAGAGGACCAGCTGGCAGGCCGGAATCCAGGTTCCAGGCTGTGGCGTCAGGCTGACACGTCCCCCTGACGGGGCTCACTGTTCCTGAGTCCTAGATAGTGTGGCCACTTCTGGGTGGCAAGGGTGGGTGTCCAGTGGGTGGTTGAGATCTCAGAAGTTGAGGGGATACAGCAGGGGCCCCAGAAAAGGCCATGCTGTGGTATACTCAGGGGATCAGAAGCACCCCCCTGAGTTAGCAAGACCTAAGGCGAGGGGACTTGGCCTGGCAGCCCAGGGCTGAGCCACCATGTGTGCACGCGTGTGCATGACCGTGAGGGGGCGTGTGGTCATGTGCTGACGTGGAAGTGTGTGCCCAAGCACCAGTGCCGTGGGGCATACCAAGGACATGATGTGTGTGCACCGCAGTGAGCGCCTGATTCTAGACTGGGTGTGAATGGCCCCGTGAGCTCTGAGTGTTTGTGCCCTCGTGTGGGTGAACTGGGTCCCTCATGGCGCAGGAGACCCATACCTGCGAGTACTGTCGGCGGGAGGGTGCGAGCTGGCGTGAGTGTGTGCATGTGGGTGGGTGCCCTAGGGGTTCCCCTCCTTTATGGTTAGCAGCAGCTGGCTAGCTTCTGCCTCTCAAGCCTCTTCTCTTGGAGACTAAGTCCCTGGAGCAATCCCTTAGACACTCCTGGCAGGAAGGGGATCCCCAGAACCCAGTTGCGGGGGGGTTGGCTCAGAAAGGAAGGGCACAGAGCCCCTGTTTCTAAAACCTCTGTGTGGATGAGGCGCGCTTCCCCCACCACCCAAGGCCCAGGTGGGGCTGGAAACGGAGAGGATGACATCCAGCATCAGCTCTGAGCCCCCAGTGTGTGTGACTACGGCAGGCCCAGTGGCAGCCTGAGGGCGGCCTGGGCCTCGCTGGCCTCGCTGGGCCTGCCCCTCTGGGCCTCGGCTCCTCGCCTGTGAGCCTTCTCCCTCTGGTTCCTACATCTGGCTCCCGGCTTCTTGCCCTCTCCCCTACCCCAAGAACTTTGGTCTGTTTTCCCAGCTCTACCAACTTGGCAGGGCCTCCAGTCTGAGGTTCTTGGCTGGGGAGAAGCCTGGAGGAGTGAGGGAGTTGCTTCTATTTTTGCCCATAGAAGTTGGGGCTTTGGGCTGAGGTTGGCGTGCTCACCCAGACAGACGTGTCGGAGCACACCTCTGATGCAGGTCCTCCTGCCACCCTGCCGGGGCCCTCTCAGGATGTGCGGCACCTGAGGAACCCCCGGCCTGGGGCCGGGGGACGGACAGCCCGGCCCCGGGACCCCTCAGTTTGGTGGCGTTGAGACGCACTGGCCACCCAGAGAGCTGGAGCTGCACAGTGAAATAAGGGCGTGAACCCCAGCGTGAACCCCCACGGTACCTTGGAAGAACCCCCACGCTGGCCTAGAGCTGGAGCTGCACAGTGAAATAAGGGCGTGAACCCCAGCCAGCAGAAACCCCACAGTACCTTGGAAGAACCCCCACGCTGGCCTGGAAGGAGCCGCTCAGTTCTTTAAATGAGTGAAGGAAAGAGGGGAGGGGGAAGGACATCAGAGCTGGTGGGGGCGCAGGGGCCGTGGGAGTGAAGCTGCAGGAGGCCCTGGGCAGTGTCCTGAAGGTCACTAGGAGGCCGGTGGGAGTCTACCCAGAAACTCAGGGCTGTGGCCCCTGGCATTTATTTTGAGCCTGAAGGCTTCTCTAGGACCCTGGAGTCAGCCCCTCTGAGGATCCCTGCTTAGCTCTCTTTTTTCCCTCTTTCTGCCTCAGTCTTCCACTAATATTTTGGGGAAACGCTCTCTCAGCAGCCCAGAGGACTAAGAAGCCGGTCAGTCCTTGGAGAGCTCACTTAGCTTTTGAAGTGGAAGCAGGGCCCTCAGCAGAAGTGGGGAGGGAGGGTTGGGGGGGCAGAGCAAAGGGTCTGGGGGGGGCCTCTACCATTTCGCTTTGCCCTGCCTCCTCCTCCTGGAAACACAGCTGAGCTGCCTCTTTCCAGGCACCATGGTTATCCTCGCCCTCAGCCCAGAGGAGTGGGGTCTCCTGGGGAGATCCATCCGGTCAGTCCTCTCTCCAACCCCAGGTGCTAGGCTCAACCCCAGGTGCTAGGCTCGGGGGCTACTGTGAGGGGACTCAGGAGCCCCTGGGGGTGGGGGCTGATACCATCCATCCCTTCTTGGCTTGACTGCTTGTCCACAACCTCAAAAACCAGGCTTACAGCGCCCAAGAGGAGAGAGGGTGGCAGAAGGCAGGTTCCAGGCCTCTCCTTCCCTGCCGGTTCCAGCTTCTCGACCTGCTGTTCCCTCCCTGTGGCCTGCTCTGTGCCTTGGGCCTTGTGTCTGGAGTTGGGGGTGGGGGTGGGGTGCAGGGCAAGGAGACCTGAGGCTGGTTCATTCCCTTGACCGAGGGCCTCTTGGGAGCAGGGAATGTGTATCCCCATTGGATTGGTTACAGCTTCAAGGAGGAGGGAGGCAGCAGGTGAGACCAAGAAGAGGGATCTGGAGGTGCATCCTGCTGGGTAGACCGGCTCACTCCGTGCTGGTGGATCAAGGTTCTGGAGGCCTTGAGTAGCCCCCGAGCCTAGCACCTGGGGTTGAGCCTAGCACCTGGGGTTGGAGAGAGGACTGACTGGATGGATCTCCCCAGGAGACCCCTCTCCTCTGGGCTGAGGGCGAGGATAACCATGGTGCCTGGAAAGAGGCAGCTCAGCTGTGTTTCCAGGAGGAGGAGGCAGGGCAAAGCGAAATGGTAGCTGTTTGTCGTGTTGAAAGCTCCATCTGACCCAAATTGCTGTGGATAGTAATTGCTAGAATTTGAAATTGATCAACACAAACACATCTTCAAGAAAAACTCTATAGAGTTTGTCAGCATTTTACTGTTTTCTAGCTTGAGTCTATGTTGAGTCCCAGCAGCCCTGAGGTGCAGGCAGCTGAGGGGAGGCGCCCTCCCTCTGCAAGTGAGGAAAGGAGGGAGGGTGGTGCCTGCTGGGCCCCAGCCCCTCTCCCACCTTGCCTTATTATTTAGCACATTCCAGAAAACCATTTGGCACAGTGGCCCTAGCCAGGGGCCCCAGTGGGTAGGCTGCATGTCTGGTTCCAATGGGGGGGGGGGGTTAGGTGCCACTGCCTGACCCTACACAGCCCTAGGCCCCCAGTGCCGCCCCAGCACAGCCTCCCCCCAGCACGGCTATGGGGGCCCCCGCTGGGAAGCACTGGGTGGGGGTCCGGCCCCTCTGTGGGTGGGTGATCAATGGGACTGGGGGTTGGGGGAACCTTTAATACGCTGCCATCTCACCCTGGGAGCTGAGTATCAGAGTAGACTCTGTGGGG